GAATCTGACGAGACATGTTCGTACGAACCCTTTGTACAAACAAAAGTAAGAGAAATTTAGGATAAGAATACGAACATGTTCTTGCATGAGGCCCATTAAACCTGCTGATTAGTCTCTAATTAAAAAAGTTTGTATGTTGGAGAGCGGCTGCACAAAGAGGACTGACATGAATCATGACTCCAACCTAAGAAAAGTCAGCTAAGAAAGTAWATCAGTAAAAGATGTTAAATGTTCCCTGTCAAAACTTGGAACAAGTAGAAACAAAATGTGAGGATTGGAGAAGGGAAGTGTACTAGTCGACCAAGGTAGATATTAAATATCAAAACAGGAAAACTAAAGAAATAATTTTATATAAAAAAAATCAAACAAATGAGAAACAAGTGGGTGGAAACCACAATGTGTCTGATCAAACTGTAAGAAATTACCTAAAAGAAACACAGAAGACGCTGATGGATTCAGACACAAACACTGCAGGACAAGTCACTGTTGATATGCACTCCCAGATATTTGTAGGACTGTTTTGTCCATGTTTATCCACATGGCTGTGATCTCCAGCTGACCTGGGGTCCACCAGCATCTCCAGTGTTTTGTCAGTATAAATTTACAGTTTATGGGCAACACACCAATTTACAAAGTCCGTACTCTTAATCTACGCCTACACTGGTGGATTGTAGCAGGGGTCGTATAACAGTGCCGTTCAAGAATRTTATCACATATTAGTCCAGCCGGGAGCTGACAGTCAGTTTACAGTGTGAATAAAAATGGTGAGCTGACACAGCCTTGAGGGGCTCCAACGTTACCCCATGCAATATTTGAATATACAGGGTTAAATTGTATCTGCTGCAGCCTGTTAAGAAAGAGTGATACCACTTGATGAGAAATGGATTTACCTTCCACTGCATTATTTCTTTTAACAAGGATGTGTGGCTGAATACAATTAAAAGCAGAGCTAAAATCAATAAAAACTAGTCTGGCGTGTGCAGAGAGACTCGCCAAATGTTTTAAAATCAGGTGTATTAACGCTAGCATTGCTTGTACGCTGATTCCTTTTGTATGCAAACTGATATTGATCCAGGTGTGGCTCCACCTGCGCAGCTCCTGAATTAACAGCTTATCTAATGATTTTATAACACTGGTGGTAAGAGCCACTGGTCTGAAATCACCCGTCGGCATGATTTTTATAAACTGGGGTAATAACAGATTTTTTCCAGAGCTCTGAAACTGAATGACTGTCAACAGACAGCTGGAAGAGTTTTTGCTATGCTAGTAGAAATGTAGACATTGGCTGTGTCCAAAACGGCAGGACGGGTCCTCCGAAGGCTGAATTTGTCGGCCGCATACGTCACAGCGCCGCGACGAAGGACGTCTAAAACCGAAGAC